TTACCCTTTGGGTACGGAACCCTAAAAATTACATAGGTAGAGGAACGACTATTTTGCTACTGGTTATTATAAAATTAATAATTATCACTCCAGGTCGTTTCAAGAGTATTGTTTGTATGGTATGGTACAAAAAATTGTCACGCTGAGTTTCTTTCGCCAGTTCTTCTCAGTTCAGTGGCTTTTCTTTTTCGGACCGTTAATACTATTTAACAATAGGTGAGTGTAATGCTTCAATATAGAATAAAATATTTAAATTTGAATTTGAACATATTGACACCTTTGAATGTAATTAAGGATGTTATACGGTAATATATTTCATGTTTATGGATCGCAGACAACTTTATATTTAGGCGTAACCGTTTATGTAGAGTAAGTGGAAAAATGTTGCTCCTTCAACGCACTCCGAAACAAATGCTCGAATAAATCACGCAGGTGGTCGTAGTGCCAGCAGCGTGCTCAGCAAACAACACCACGTGGAGCCAATTCTAGTGAAAACCTGACCTACAAAGCTAATTTGAAGGACATCGAGAAAAGGAGAGTAACCTGACGTAGCGTCTAAAGTGATGAGTCGCGTGGACGTCGGGCGGCGGCGAGCCCGCTCAAGTAACGACCTATCGATTGGCAATAGTGCCTAGTTAGCAATCCGCTCCCTCCCCGCGCGCAATCCGCACCGCGCCGCCGCTCTCGCTCCTTGCGCCTACCACATCCTCCGGACCTTTTTTCTCTCCTAAAAATTATTCCTCGTAAAAACCTGCTCTTACACCCGTTCGTGGACGGATGCAGGGGCGTAAATCAAATCATTGTATACTGGCGGTGAAAATTAAAATCCCCGATAAGCACTAGTAACGGTCAGTAAATTAGACCAATTGTTAAGATCGAATTCGTTGTATTGATGTGAATTGCTACGTGGGCCAGTGGTCTCAGATTCGGTTCAACTTAGAAACGAGCGGCGTTCAAATTTTACTTTACAGATGTTATATAAATCAACTCTACTTGAATTTTTCGATACTACCGAATGTTACGATACGCTAAGGAAACTTGCGCCTTTTTTTGGTCTCATGTTGAGAGAATTAATTCGTGAATTTATATCTTTTATTCGACATTTTAATAATATTTGTGTACACACGTATCGGGGAAGTGTGCATTCCATTACAAACTAACAGTAATCGTATTATTTAATAGTGTTACCGCATCAGAGGTGTTAAGTCGCTTTTCCGAAGCCTATTCGCTTCTAATCGTATCAATTCGCTGGAAAAAAGAAAAACATTCATAATGATCTATTTATATTATATTTGTTGCATATATTTTATTATTTTTTATTGATTTTATCCAACTTAGGTTTGTCTTCGCTATTGGGAATAAATTTGAAATCAGAATATTAAAACAAAAAATAAATGTTTATTAAATAATCGATTATTAATTTCAACGTTAAAAAAATTCTAAAAAATCTTATATACTGATAGAGATTGTTACAAACCGAATATTGAGAAATATAGCAAGACAAGACAACATGACGTAAGCAAACTTTTACTTGTAATGTTTATTAGCTGCTGACACAGTTTAATAATTATATTATATTAACACTTGCTGTGTATTGTTTACTTTGTAATATTTAGTTCTTATATTTTAAAATCATTTTATATCTAAAATTTTAAATATAGATCAATAAAATCTATACTTACACAAATAATTACTGTTTTAATCGTTTTGTCATATCGATATCCGTTAACATAAACATTTTGTGTCTTTCAAACAATTTTTGTCTTCTCTTATTGAAAATTATGTTCAAAATTGAATTTTATTTGGTTAAGAAATGGACCAAAAACAAATTTATTATATCAATAGCCTTTTAGCACCCCACAATTCTAAAGTTAAATATCGGGTTTTTGTATATAAATTGTCAAAAAATGATTGACGAACTCAAAGCGCGAAATCTCAACATCTATCTACTTTATTGAATTATTAGCGTTGCTTGGGGCCACGTAGTGAGTGTGCATACTTTACAGCATACCGACACTTTTCAAATAACATTTTAACAATAAATACTTGATAGAGCCGTGATAGAGCATTGGCCAGGCGCTCGCTTTCAAGACTTAGTTTCTTCACTCTTCGATGCTCACTTAATAATTATTCAACCCCGATGACGTGTCCTATTTTTGGCCTTTGTTCTGTGAGCTCGAATTCCTTTTAATTATCTGTACCAATAAATGACATTTACAACAAAAGCAAAAACTCACGAATGTGAAGGGTGTTCGTTCTAATCTTTCGTTAACTCTCGTTAAGAGATTGTGTCAGCATTGTCTCAGCATTGCCATGATAGAAATTCAATATATATGATTCGACGATTCAAATAATCATAAAAAACTTTTAACTAATAATATTTTAATTTTTTAAAATTTCGTAGATAAATTCCAAACATTATGAACCTTCTTCCGGAGAAGTTCCGTTATGATTCAAGTAACTTTACCACGGAGACTCGCATATTTAGGAAATGATAAAAAAGTAACTCGAACGGCCGTTGCCAAGCAGTGAGACAAAACATAACATAAATACGCTATTACTTTAAACCTTCAAAACCTAAGTATAGTTTTCTTTCACAATTTAGAGTATGTACACATTAAATACTCAGAGACCACACGTTTAGCAATTGTAATATTGTTTCATGTAATGATCATTTAAATACTGATATTTAAATAGGCCTGTACAGCTACTATAGCATATTTACTAATCATTACATTGACGGTCGCCATACAACCGGTAATACAAGTATATTGAATGTTAAGAATGACAGCTCTTAAAGCATTTTTTACGAATTATAACAAATTGTGAAATTACTAAGAAATATAAAAACATGTTTTTATTATTTTGAAATACAACGATTAAACCTAGATACTGTGAAACTTACCAGCTTACTGTGAAAACTATCTTAAAAATCAGAACCAGTTCTGCTCTTATAAAATTAGTATGGAAACAGGAAGGAACATGAGTGTAACATACCAATTTAATTTGTAATATTTTTTCTTTTATAAAAAATAAACATTGCCATTAATTTAGGATAATATTATCGTGTATTATAAGGACGTTTTACAAACATATTTCCACGTGGAAAAACACCCAGATGCGAAACATCTATGGGTCACACAAATAGTTGTCCCGTGTGGGGATGACCCATCGAACCCATGACCCGAACGACAGCCAAAGCCAACACTTTAGCAACTACACCAGTTTAGCCATGGAAATTCAAAATAAAAAGTATTGCTTTTAGATTGAGTGGAAAAAAGTACAATAACGTCACGTAAACATGGTTAAAATTTTCTACATAATTTTAGAGTATGATGATGACAGCTAAAACAATACGACTCCAAAACAAACGTGCGAAGAATTTAAAAATAAGGTCACTGCGAATGCAAAAGGCACAAGGAAATAAGGTACCAATCGTATCGGACGCGGGAGTATTCACCCCGCTAGCCTGTCGGAAAGCAGATCGCTGCCTCAGCTTCGAGCAAACAACCTCCATCAGCTCATTTCGATGCAGCTACTTGAACAGGTGTTCGTGTGAGTCATGTGCACATTTCAGTTTTCACCAACGCAGCGACGAAAATATACTCGTACCTATAAAATATCATTATAGGGGATGAAATAAATTAATTATTTCTTAGAATTATACCCTTAATTGTATTTCTGTTTTATCGACAAATCTCTTTTTAAACAACAACGTCGTTTTTGTAATTAATAAACTATTCTAAGTAATAATATATATTTATATTAGCATAAAAAACACATTAGAGAAGCAAATAATAGAATTGAAGACCTTAATTAATGCTTAGCTCTACCGATTTATTACAAAAGAATAGAAATTGAATTATAGAATAGCGATGAGCTTATACTAGTTTCAATTGAATAGGTCATTTGAATGGTTAGTAGTTAGTTACCCTGGAAAATGGAAAGTACGAGTTGTGACGTCAGTGCTGGCAGCCCGACCTTGCCACTAGAAAAATGTGCCGCGTCGCCCGCATCGCGTTGCTGCCTCATCACAACGCCCCGGCCATCGCACCCTCGCCTCGCATCCACTAGCACAGCAATTCCGTCACTTGGATCTAGTTCACGTCGTCTTGTTTCTGCAAAACATGAATGGAGACTGTATTACGTCTTTTCTCAAACGGATGGATTGATGATTGAAGCTGTCTTTGTCACTTAGATCTCCATTTATTGAGATGAAGATAATATTATAATATCTGATGGTAATTTGTTTTATAGTTAGAGACACGTATGAAAAAACGTTGAAAAAAAATCAATTTTAAAATTTGTAGAAAAAAGAACGAAAAGTTTGTCGCCGCTGTGGGAATCGAACTCATGTCGATTGAAGCCACACCATCTTTTATCTACATTGTTTTATTAGCTAAAGCGTCAGGGCCCGGATCCCGAAGACGTGGGTTCGATTCCCACAGCGGCGACAAACTTTTAGATCTTTTTTCAACAAATTTTAATGTTTAATCTTAAATGCAGAGATTAGCACTATACAAATTTAAATTTCTAAAAAAAAATTGTCATTAAAAAGAGTATTTCTTCAACAAAGTTAACATGGAAAATAAGTAGGGGTGACTATAAATATTTACTCCAGTAGGCGGTAGGTACATAATTTGTGATAAAATTACCTTACTAAAAAGATAAAACTTGCATTGTTTGATTATCTAAACTTTATCTATTATGTTCTACTACATTACTATAATATTTAAAACTTAAAGCTAAATTTAGTTTTAAACTTCAATAATGAATGTTCAGAGTGTTATTCGCAGCTATGTAGTTATCATTCAATTCCAAATCGCCAATGCGGAGCTTTATATTAAATAAATAATCCGAGTATTCATTATAATGATGTACGCCTACAAAATGGGCCATTACGCTGCCGGACTGGTAATAACAATGCCCATAATTCTCGTCGACTTCATTAACAGGCCTCCATTTGCATGACAGCCTTCCGTATATACAACTACAGCTTATAATAAGCACTCGCTGGATAAGACGAGAAGAGCATGAAGGTGGCTGTGCTCTTCATCGTCCGCGTACTCTTTCACGTGTATAAACTTCGTCTCGGGGAATTTGGACTTTATGTGTATGATAGGAGGGCGCAATGAGGTTTTTCTGAAACGCAAATATCCTAAATGAATTGGTGGTCGGTAGGCGGTGCTGAATTCCTCTCGCTGCGACCGGGCGTGGCGCCGGCGGGCACGCCTCTCCTCTCCCACCGAGCAACTTACGCTACTCTGTTGCCGTCTTGTTATGAGCATTTCAACATGCCATTGTGTTAATATTACAGATGCGCTTTGTCTTCGCGTGTCTATACGCTGAGCGTAATGCTTATGTATCAATGAAGGTAACCGTATCTTCAAACCATCGGTTGAAGTAGATTGTGTGATCTTACTGTGCATTTAGATTAAGTTATAGGAATTGTTATTGCCGTCGGCTTATATTTTAATGATAAATCTCAAAAGTGATAGAATAAGGTTTTGTAATTATTAAAAATTATTGACCAATAATTTTATTAATGGATTCGTTTGTAATTAAACAAAAACACAAAGAAAAAAATTATTACAATTACGAAATTTATTATTTTTACCGTGTTCACTATAATAAAAAAAAATAATTTAAATCGGTTCAGGGTTCTATCATCTTATATATAAAAATGGATTGCTGTTCGTTAGTCTCGCTAAAACTCGAGAACGGCAGGACCGATTTCGCTAATTTTGGTTTTGAAATATTTGTGGCAGTCCAGGGAAGGTTTAAACGATGAGAAATTACGGAAAAATTGCATTGAAAATCGAAATAGCAACAATTTTATTTTCCCATACAAACTGTACCTGTCAACCTGGCAAACGATTTTGAACACGTTCCGATTCCTCTAGAAATAATTTATATGGCAAAACAACGTTTGCCGAGTCAGCTAGTTTATTATAAAACCCAAGTCTATTGCTGCATGGCATCATGACCTGTGACAGACATAAACTAAATACTAGAAATGAGGAAAGATATTTTACATGCAACTCCATCATTAAACCTTGTAATTATAAACCTACAGTTTCGATTTAATATAAAAAATAATGTGATAAATATAACATGTTATTAATCTTATTACAAAAATAATTGATTATCTGTTAAATAAATAAAGATGATTATATGGTGTGACAAAAAGGTTGTAATTATTTTAAACTAGAAATGGAACAAAGCACCGGATACGGAAACGAACAATAACCTCGACTCACAAAACACCAGCGTAACAGTAGAAATATAAATTATCTTTTACATTTCATTTCACTTCAACCGTAAAGTTACCGTTTTAAAAGACGGCCATGCATCTTCAACTCCAATAGCGAATGAAAGATTAATGGACGGTTAAGTGGCCTCCCATCAGTGAATCAAAAAACAATAAAGAAAGGATCATAATTCCACTTCACGCCGGTCTTCTATGCGGCCGTGGTACTTCCCTGAACGGGCCTGTCCATTCATGCAACAGCCGATGCTGCTGCTTGGCCCTTGATTAAGAATTTCCTGACTTACGCCCGGTTTCTGAAACACTGACAAAACATCGTAGATGTCGTCAACTAATCAGCTGTCAAATGGCTTTTCGAATTTCATTTTAGTTGCCAAAAGAATGGTTAAACGCATTGAATTGACTAGAATGATCTTCTTAATGATCAGAATGATCAATTCAAAGAGTTTAACTATCCTTTTTGTAACTGGCATTTGAAAAGCCATTTGACAGCTGATTAGTTGACACGTACGACGATCAGTGTTTCAGAAACCGGGCGTTAGTTAAGCTAATAAATACTTACTTTATTTAAATACCCTGGCCATTATCAACTCATTTTGCATATGTTCTAAACCGGGCGTTTAATAAAAAAAACCTCAATACTGGTAACAGACAAAGAACAAGGTCTGGGAATACAATCTCTTAAATTTATCAATTATATATTTTATATAAATAAATAGCTGCTGCCCGCGACTACGTCTGCGCAGAGGGGTGAAAATTTATGGTTGTATGTATTTTTGTATGCTGTGTCATAAAAAAATAAAAACAAAAAATTTTGCCTAAAAAATAAAAAATAAAATTTAGGGGTGGACTACCCTTAACATTTAGGGGGATGAAAAATAGATGTTGGCCGATTCTCCAACCTGGCCGAAAATCACGCTAAGGATCACAAAAATCGGTCGAGCCGTTTCGGAGGAGTTCAAGTTCGAACCCCGTGACACGAGAATTTTATATATTAGACTAGCTGCTGCCCGCGACTACGTCTGCGTAGAGGGGTGAAAATTTAGGGTTGTATGTATTTTTGTACGCTGTATCATAAAAAAATAGAAACAAAAATTTTGTCCAAATATTAAAAAAAAAATTAATTGTGAACAACCCTTATCCCTTAGGGGTATGAAAAATAGATAGTAGCCGATTCTCAGACCTACTGAATATGCATATAAAATTTGGTAAAAATCAGGAAAGCCGTTTCGGAGGAGTTCAAGTTCGAACCCCGTGACACGAGAATTTTATATATTAGATAATATCTTTACTATATTACTAATAATATTTTTAGATAAATATTTTTAGTGGACACATTCTACTTTTTTCCCATTATAAAAATCAAAAGCAATAAAGGAGCTAATAAAAATAATTATTACAAGGTTTTTAAATCTTTTATTAATCTTTATTGTTACCTTAGGTATGTACATGTTACAATAATTTATTCTCACGGCGAAACTTTTTAATAATTGCATTCTATATGGTCAACAAGTCTGCAAAGTCAAGAATTGTGTCCAATTTATTACAACAGATTGAACTGAAATATAGCGAATCCTGTTTGTTTTATAATTTTAAAGTACCAATGCTTGAACGTTACAAACTGCCTTGCATTCACCGTTTGGGACATCAAAAAGATAGATGTTCAATATTGTTCAATATTTCAACATTTATATATAACTTTCATCATCATCATCATCACTTCAGCCTGTTTGAGTCCACTGCTGAACATAGGCCTCCCCCATAGACTGCCACGAAGTACGATCCTGAGCCTCCACAGACTTCCCGCACATTTGCACAGGTCGTCACTCCATCTAGTGGGGGGTCGTCCCACACTGCGATGGCCAGTACGAGACTGCCACTCGAGAACCTTTCTTCCCCAACGGTTATCGGTTCTACGAGCTATATGGCCGGCCCATCGCCACTTCAGCTTGCTAATATATGCCTTTACAACTATGTAACTTTACGTCATTCTATTTAAATGTAAATACTTGAATCTAATACCTTAAAAAAAACTAAGTTCCTTTTAATTTAACAATTATTTACAAAGTCATAATAACTAACAAGAAACAATATCATTACTATTTGTGTGTTTTTTAATTTTTGCACTACATTAATTACATGATTCAATTATTTCTCTTTTACTATGACCCATAAATACTGTTTAATAAAAAATAACCTGTAAGTACCATTTATATTTTTAAAATTTAAATGATCGTCTCTGATGAGACTAGTATTTGAATATAAGAAGAGCAAATATGTATTAAATTTCGACTTTGTAGACAGAAAAATTCGATAACTTCCATCAATCATGACTGAAGAACGTTGTCGAGGTAGAGAATTAACTAAACCATCCAATCGAGATGCAACAAAATCGGTGATGGAGGTTCATCTGAACAGCGAGACACAAACACTGAAAGACGCATGGTAAGGTAACAGTATGACTTGCAAAAAACACTGAGATTATGAAAGAGTATCTAAATCGAAATATAAGAAATGCACTTTATACTTTCTTGTAATAAATGTAAGTAGTTTGTTCACTCGTCACGCGCCTGTGATAAACTGGATTCAAATAAAATAAAAAATTGCGTCAAATACGCTTATTTTTACCCATCAAAACACCATATGACAACATACGCGACTTATTACATAGTAACATGCACATGCATGTATAGTGCGGCAAAGAAAAAAAGGAGTATTTTTTAAAAGTTACATCAGTCCATCTGATGTACGTTGGTAATGATGTCCCATAACGAAATACTGAATAATAAAAAACAACAAATAAAAAAATCCAAAAGAGGATTGAGTTCTCTTTGATAGCGAAGAGAAACTTGCAATCGCAATAATTAAGAGAATTCCTAAAACCCTATATTGGTAGAGTAAATATAGTTCAAATGATGTCGACCAACATCAAAGGCAATCATAATACTTCAAAAATTTAAGAAATATAGAGGACTTAATAAAATATATCTTATATATATTTAATTTACTGTTATTTTGTATACAAATAGGTAAAAAAAATTGGGAACAGAATTAAGACGTCGCATAGCTTATAATTTTGGTAAGTAAAGGAATGATTTTTGCTTGCAGATATTAGTATTATTTAATATAGGTACACATATTATTACTACCGTCCTTTGTCGAAATATGTACGTAACGAACTATTTTATATCAAAAATCCTCTTTATGGAGATTATAATGTTGAATGTAATCCAATTATATGCACGAGTAAATCCGTTAGTAACTTATAAATCGCTATCAAGTAACAGTACGCCCCGACAAATTCTAATAACAATTCAGTATTAAATTACGATTATTTACGTCGCTGGCCGATAGTGGGTGACTTAGTGCAACAATGTATGTTTCCTGTTTCGATGGGCGCATTCACACACATGCACCCTGTTAATACGTATAATCCATATGTTACGTGTAGATATAACTACTTAGAATTATTAAGACGACACCAACACACGTACAGTTGAATAACGTTCTAAGAAAGTGCTGTTATATTTCATCTTCGTTTTATAAATGCAAAAAACATCATGTTTAGATCAAAAGCTTCGTCCACCGCAAATTTCCAAGTACAACCTGTATGAAGAAACAGTTTTAAGACTAAAAACTTATATGTTACATTTTATAGATCTATTTCGCGCTAAAACTTTACACGTCACCTTTTTGTTTCACTACGGTTATGCCTATAACCTCAATTCGATACAATTGTTGAGCAATTACACAAACGTTGCAAAGTTGATATTGCAACATCAGGAAAGTCATTGGACTCGTCTCCAAGTTTCCGTTTAACAGACCGTGGTATAAATTTATAACATTATCAAGCTATTTCATTGCGTATAAATAACTTAATCTTTCATGTAGTGAAAAAGACAGAAATTTATTTTGTTACTTTTAGATATACCAAAAAAAAATTATCAATTTAATTTAAATTATACGAATACAGTTTTTTTTCTATTAATCTCTTTTTTTGTTAATAGTGTAAACATGAACGTTTTAAATTTATTTTAAAGAGAATTTTACTATTGAACTTTACGACACATAATGTATACCTCAGTTTTGTGTTAAATGAAAAAGCTTTTAATATGAATATTTTATTAATAAAACAAAAATCCTATAAGTAATATTGATCGTTTATGTAATATTTACAATTATATGAATAATCAGTTGTTGAATTCGTTATAACTTATGTGTAACTTTAGTAATACATTTATTGTTTTTTTAACGAAGCTATGCATATATTACGACACAACCATACATTTAACACGGTGTCGCGGGTACGCCCTAATCGGGAAACACCGCTTTATTGTTCCACCTTTAATTAAAAAACTATAAAACTGGAACTGATGAATTAGAAAATTTTAAACTTAACAAAAGCACGAATGGTCCGTCGAGTTCTGCACGCACGTCGTGGTGTGCCGTGGTGGCGCTCAGTAGCGTTGCCAGGCACAGGCGGAGGCGGAGGCGGTAGAGGCGCCGGGCCGTGGCGCCACGCCCTGCCGTCACAGCTCCGAGAAGAACTCTGGCGAGGAGTGCGGAGTAGGTGGCGCGTGCTGGGGCACAGCGTGCTCGCGGCCCACCAGCGCCAACCTCTGCTTCAGCACATCGCGTTCGTGCGTGACGCGTGCCAACTGTAGCTGCAGCAGGTGAAGCTCATCTTGCAATGACCTGTTGGTTAGCTCCAGTTCCTGCCGGTGCTGGAGTCTCTTGGTGCGGCAATTTTGTGCGTATCCGCGGTTCTTAAGCGTGCGCCGCTTTTGTTTGAGCCGTGTCACATCCTCTCGTGGAAACCCGTGCAGGCGCTTATTGAGCTCGCGAACGCTTAGTGTCATAAGTAGGTCGTCGCTTATAAGATCCTCGCCACAAGAAGTAGGCTGATAACCCTGGTGTTGGCTTGTGCGCGGAGAAAGTGCGGAGCAGGAACTAGCCGGTCTCAATGCCACCTGCTGAACATGATGATCCTGCTCTCTCCACTCTCGCCGATCCCATTCCTCAAAATTTCCACATGGTACAGTGCGCATATCAAGTGGTTCTCTCATATGTGGCAGCCATAACACATCATCAACGAGAGCGGCGCGACAAGGGCTTCTCCCGATGGGGGCCGGTGGTGTTTCAGGAGGTGTGCTGGGGTCTACGGCAATCGCTACATGCGGCTGCGGGTACGGTCCCGCGTCAGGCCAGGGTCGGCACGCGCGAGCGCAGGCTGGGGGGGCTTCAACGAGCTCATTCCATCCGGTGCGCAGAGGCTCGCGTTTTACGACATGGTGGTCTTCGAGATGGTCGAGTTCAAAATTTTGGACGTACTCATCGGCGAGTTGATCCTCATCCTCTCGGTGTGGCTGAGGCGGCAGGGTTTGCATGGCGCTCGCCTGGGAGCAATCAACGAGTGCGTGTTCCACCATGGAGCGTGCGGAACGCGCGCCGGCCGGAAACGGACTGCCGTCGCGACGCAGGGCGGCACGAGGCTCCGCCCTCAAGCCCAATGACGTAGCGCGACGCGCGCACGTATGTAGTGAAGGCTATATTTTCACTATAATAACTCCACCAACATCTCGATACGAAAACATAAACACAACACATGTATCAAAAGCGCAATGTATAGTGTTTCACACGCCTTAAAACCAACATGTTTGTTGATGGTAAAACATTCATTGGAAAATGTTTCCATTTTACGAGTATATCATTAAACCAGTTATTATATGCTGTGATAGCGCAAACATTTGTCGAGCAAATAATCCCAGTCTTCAATTTCTTTACTCGCATCATATCACGGCATAATACTGTGAGTAACCCCGTAGACCCTTCTACGCACCAGTTTCCATCCTGCTACATGTGCTGCCGTCGCCGTATAAATGTAACATTATCAACTTTTTCAAACTAATAAAATTTGAAAAAGTTGATACTGTTACAATAGCCGACTGTTCACACCTCTTAAATGTGAAAGTTTTTGACTTATCCATGAAGAGCACGGACAAATCCATGTTACGATATAAATGGTAATAATTATTGAAACGGTAGTGAACCTTACTACCGTTTCAATAATTATTACCATCAAACTTTTACGAGCTTTCTCTTGCCACTGGATATTGATAGCACTAAGTACAATACAAGTTTTATTTATTTAAAATATGACTTTAATAAAACATTTACTGAAATTAAATATAGCTTTTTTTAGTGAAAAATTTGTAGCCAAATTAGTATGGGAGAATCTGCGAATCCAGAGATTATACACATTATATGGAAAGTTTACTCCTTAACGCATTTACAAGTATAGCAAATATTCGCAGCAAACAGATTACCGAGTTTTATTACATGAATATGATAACATTTGTAAAATAAGTTTTGTTCAGTTACATCAAATGGAGAATCAAGGCTGGCGAATAATTGGAGTTTTAAAAAAGAGTATGGCAATACGAGTGATGGAAAATAAAATTCATTTACAACTGAACTGAATGTAAATCGTTTTCATATAGTAAACTTAATATATCGAGAAGTTATGTCTATGCTGCGAATAATTATATGGGGCTCGTAAAAACAAACCATATTTATAAAACCTTTAATAATGTAAATATATATTGTAACATCCAATTAGAAATGTTTTCTTCGAACACTTGGGCCGGCAGAGTGGATCTTAGCTCAGTAGCTCAGAACCGGAGATAATGGATATACTGATAAACCAAAACAATAATTACGCGTCACATAACTGAAAACAAATTTGCTGTAGTTATTTCATCCAACACTACTCTTCATATATAAACAGATGGTTTGAAAGACAAGCATGGATTTAGTGGTATAGCTTATTTGGTCCTCAAATTAAAAACTGCGTGCAAAATAAGTAATGCCAACATATCTATAATGCATAAAGAATTTAAATAGCGTTAGTCGAAGCTATTTCATGTTCTATTTAGTCAGATAATCTTGTTTTACCAACAGACTCTAATACCCGGTTCCTATATTCAACGAACGAACATTAGTTACATAGCTTCGTTACTTTCATAACAACATGTAGATTAATGGAACGCTAGTAACTTTCCGTGCATTACCCGCTTTCCGTGGGTAATGCAACGGCTCGTAAGTAAAATGCCCCTTTTTGTAAATATAGGAACCGGGCATAAGAGTGCGTTCTACCACTTGACGCGATGCGTAGTGGCGGATTTACAAATTTGCCACCAATAGGCTGTTCAATTTTAGACCTCTGAAATTCGATACCTTAGTCCGCAATTGCAACTTTATGATTTGAGCTCTATCGTGAAGACGATCAGACTTCATTTTTATTCTTCTTTCTTCATTAGTTTTTTCTTAATATTAGCATGATTTTGAACTAGGGTTTCGTTGTGTCAGTTTCTAGATTATTTTTACATCCCTTGATTTAGTCAAGATTACACGAAAAATAGCTTTTCGGTATATTTCTGAGCAAAAAAAATTATTAGACGGGGTATTGTATGCCTTAAAAGTACTTATAACAATATATGGACACAGCTAACACAAAATAATGTACATTTAATAAATTAAAAAAAAAAATGATTGCACTTACAGTTTAAAACTTATACGAAAAGTATCTCTATTCAATTCTTTTCTTTCTCGTTTTCTCTGTTTACATATAATGATGTTTTTCTTTATTTCTGTAAGACAAAAAATTTTGGGGCAAATTTGCCGGCCCCTAAAATCTGCCGCCCTAGGCTTCTAGTCTACTAAACCACCCGCCACTGTCGATGCGTCTCGAACTTTCGTGGTGCATCGATAGTGTATATTATTTTAGAATATTTGCGTCATGGTTTATAAAAAGTGTATACAAGACAATGAAAAAGCCGACCGCTTAGGAATACTGTCAAACTCTTTGCGTTTATACACAGAACAGCAACATCTATCCCGGAATTAGTGGAATAATTTTTCAATGAACACTTTGACGAGAGGTCATTTAATAAAGGTATTTGATATAAGACAATACCGCCACTCTTACCAATTAGCTATGGTTTGGTGGATTTAGTATAAGTAGATCTGACCTATTGTAATTGTTCTGAGACTTAGATCTGGACACATTCCCCCGTACATAATTCACTTACACATAATTCACCCAACTGTGAAGAGTATGTTGTTGTAGAAAATGTATATCATGTTATTGTGATCTGTACCCGAATCGAATCGAGAAGAGATCATTTACCTCTCAAGCCAATATAGACTTAATTGAAGTTGGCAAATGCAATTTAATCCTAGTGCACCATTTTTAAAGCGTAGATTATATTTTTTTGTTTACATAATTATATTGTGAACGCCTATGAGGGCGGCATAATCATGTCTGATTAAGTCATTTTTTATTTAAAAAAAAATAAAGAGTTTACTACTCCTCGGCTTCATAAGAAAAGACAAATTTGAGTTGCGTTATGTTTCCTATTACGTAATTCATACATAAAATAAATTAAACATCTAAATACATCTCATTGAGTGCATATTGCCATGTAATTGTGTAATAGGGACGTATTTAAACCACCAAGACCTTTCCACTTTCTCTTCTAACTAGTTTTATGAACATTAAGAATGCGTAACCCATCTTGCCTGTAGTTATTAGTTTCGACGATTAAAAAAGTTTTAGGTATTTATAATGCAGTACAGCAATAGACTATAAAAGACATCATGCATTACATGATACATCATTGTAGTCGTCAAAATATGAGCAAAATATGTGAGTTTATTTTAAAAGGCTTTGCTGCTTGTTCTATTTATTTATTCATTTAAGTATACATATATAATTATATCATTACATAAATTTTATTTGGATATTAAAGAACAGTAGAGCGTACTTATTTAGGCGGATTCTTGTTATATATTTCTTCCCGATTATTGACATACTTAATCAACTGTAAGCTTCTATAGAATATGATTGTCTAGTTGATGAGACGTCAGAATTACGATCTGAACCTGCAAAGTTCGAAATCTAGTGGCGTGTACCATCGAGATTTTAAATTTTCATTATAAAAGAAATTAGCAAAAAAAAACACCATGCCGCGTAGTTATTTTTTCCTGATATTTGGTGACACCTTCTATCCCCCTTAGGTCTGAATAATGTCAGTGAAATGTTTATAGGATTAGGTGTGAACCCATGTCTAAGTTTTTGCTTATTATAATATTCTATTATTATGATGAGACCAAAGAACGTCCACAACGCCTAAAGGGGTTGTTTGTAATCGAGTCACCAACCTTTCGCAGAGTGAAGTGTTCATCATGCATTAAATTACAAAGAAGTATAATATTTTAAAATAATTTTTCTTCTGTGAGGCCGTGGTTAAGGCAATAGCATTTTATACGGTAATATAATTACCTAAATAATATAAATACTCTCTGATGTTACGGTGGCAATGTCATGATTACCTACTATCAGGTGTACCGATTTGTTTTTAGTCAAATAAGAGCAGCATATATAGCTTTCATCATGTTATTTCATTTCGTATCAGTGTAATATTTTCTTTATTTTTTAAATCAGTATAATTATTTTAAATCTGTTCTAATATTAGATACCGTAAACTTACATATTTTGCATTTTATATATTGCGATTTATTCTATTTATTTATTTATTTAAAACTTTATGCACAAGTACACATGCAACCACGGAGCCGTGATAGCTCAATGTCCAGGCGCTCGCCTTTAATTCAATATACTCGAACAACCTGAGTTCGATCCCCGGTGCCGGCACCAATGTAATTGTTAATTTTAAGAGCCGAATTATTATCACGTGCTCTGCGGTGAAGGAAAACATTGTGATGAAACCTGCATATTTTCGAAATAATAACAAAAAAAATATTTCGAAGCTATGTGAAGTCCGTTAATCCGCAGTGGGGCCGCGTGGTGGACTATGCCCTGATACCCTCTGTACATAGGAGGATTTGCACAGCAGTGGAACATGTATAGGCTGATCCTACACTTACTTTAATGCACAAACATAAATATTTGTTCAAAGACTTAATTTACCAAGGTCATTTTCTGCCAGTCAACCTAAAGAACGTGAGAAGTTGAGGTAGCCGCACAAATAAAATAAAGTAAAAAATAACAATAGAAACGAATATACATAAATTAGGAAATAGTAAATACTAGTACTATAAACTCAGTTTTATTGTACTACATTTACGGACATAAATACCGACACATACACATATACGTACATATAAATATATACATAAATACATTAACATATACATACATACACCTATTTATAAGAGTGGAATGATTCTGCCGATAACTTTTTGAGTAAGTGCTCGCGAGCTTTCCTTTTAAATTTAGTGACTCTAGTCTTTCTTATTTTAAAACGTAGCATTTATTGATCGTGATGATCAAAAGTCCTGTCGAATTTAATCCTATCAACTTCAAAAAATGATCACTCGAAATATTTTGGAACTACAGAAAACCACA